ATTGTTTCAAGTACTCCAATGTGATGATGGACATATGACATTGATTAAAAAATAATAGTAATAGAAAAGTGATTCAAATAGCCCATCCTACTTCTGGGTGCTATACAATAGAGTAAAGCTGGTAGTTATATTTTAACAGGAAAAGAGAAAATGCATATGTAAACAAATGTGTAGAGGAACGGATGGGACAGTTTCAGGTTACAAGAGCATAAATGATGTCGTGGGTTTTTGGAAGAATGTTTCTGGAGGTGCTTGCCTGGATTCCAGGGGGCAGAGTTCCAGGAAGTGACCTCTGTGGGCTCATTACAAAAACAAAGCCTGAAACAGACTCTAAACTGCAAAGCAAAGTTTTATAACTAAATTTGACATAAGTTGGAGCAAGTGATCGAGTTGGAAAGTCAAGTATAAAATCAGAAATGGTACCTGCGGTTAGAGAGGCTGAGCTTGGAGATTGTAGGGCTTTTCTTCTTCAGCAGAAAACTTGGATTTTACTCTCCCTCCTCTGAGTGGGGAAATTCAAGATTTTAAAGCAATAGATGCTGTGGTGGTGTAACATGATTGACATCTTATAAAGACCATTCAGGTCTCTAGAAGGAGGGCACAAGCCTTAGTCTATCCTAAAAGAGACATTGTCATGGTAGGTTTGCTTGTCAGAGTCTTTGCCATTGTAAGAAACCTGGGTTGGTACACATACAGGTCATAATTAGGCTTTTAAAATATTTTGTCAGATGTGATGTTTATTTCTACAGAAGTATCTACAGTCAAGATGAGGTTGGGCGGTGAATCCTAGGCTCCAGATTCTCCTTCTACACTCTCCTTTGATTTTACATTATCTTTTGTAGACCAGTTAAGCTTCCTTTTATTTTCATGAGCAATTTCTTTTTCTCATAGCAAGTTTTATATTCTTGCTTTGTTACAAATCACATTTTTTTTCTTAAGGGAGGGAGTGAAGGGGCTACAAAACATATCCAGAAGTCTAATTCTCCGTGACTGAACCGAAACAAGTGGCTCAGAGGTGAAGGGTGAGAGACTCTAAGTCCTCCAGTTTGAAAACTTCGCTTCAGCATCCTTGATTGCCAAGGTTACCATTTCCCAGTTATCCCGCATCCCCGTGTTCCTTGCAAGCTCCTGCTGCTCAGGCAGCAATTTCAAGGTTTCATCTTCGGTGTGCATTTACCCATTAGCTTGCAGTTTCTCTCCACTTGGTTTTTGTGGTTGGCAATTCGCTGAAATTTTACTGTTTTTACGGATGAATCTGACAGTTCTAATCTGTAGGAGAAGACTTTCGCTTGCAATCTAGTGGGTAGAAAATAGCAAAAAAGGTTGTCTCCTCAGCGGCCCTTGTACAAGGGTGAGAAGAAATGTGCCTCTCAGCTTTTCCCTCTTTGTTTTTGTCTGTTTGTCAAAAGATTATTAATCACTCCATTATCCCATTTTGCTCAAATTCGATTATTTTTTTCAAGTCATAAGAAAGCTAGAGAATTGAGTTCTCACTCTTTTTCTTCTTTTCAGTTTGCCTTTTCCCATTTCTCTGTCTCCTCTCACTCTGTTCCTATTTGTCACCTCCTAATTACATGCTAAAGAGATAATTGACATACACTTGCTTCCTCCTTGTGTTAAAAACTACAGAATATATTTGGCTGAAAGGTTCTTCAAATATTCAACAAATACGCATTTACCAATTATTAAACCAGAAATTGGATCACACCATGCATATTCTATGAGTCACCATCTCTGTACATAGAATTCTTATATTAGACTGGATTGAGATAAAAAAAAGATGGAGTGTAATTCAGTAGTGAACGGCCACTGTAGCAAAATGATATTCAACATGGTCTTGAATAAATCCTATAGAAGGAATCCTACACTGCATGATGACCAGTGGATACATGTTAGTCATCTGGGGCGTTTGGGGAGAGTTGCTGGGAATGGAGGGCAGATGTCAGCTGACAAGAAGTGAGATTTTGGTGGAGGCCATGGAGGAAATTGAGAACTGAAGAGGAAGAGCATGAGATTAGGGTCAGAAAACCCTCTGATAAGGACTATGCCCCCCCTTTCTGAGACTGGAAGATCACATGAAGCTTTTAAGCAAGTGAACCTCATCATAGCTACTGCTTTTCTAAGACATAGAGATTGCATTATCTTTAGTTGATGATATTTAACCAAGCTCTGAATATTGCAGTGTAGCTGGGAAGCTCAGATACAGACTTTAAGTATGTGTGTGCAGGAGTAGGAAATCTGGGAAGGTCAGATGCCCGCTTCTGATTGTGTGAGTCGGAAATAGGAGGAATATACTGTGGCCAGTGAGAAATGTTGGTGACATGCCTTGTTTTATCATAGTAAAGTAGATTAGGTGTGTAACTTAAGAGATATAAATGGGGTATGATTGACGGACTGGACAGAGCATTGATGGTATGAGAGGAAGAAAATAGTATTGTTACACACTTCCAGATGTTCACCTACATTCTCATCTCTCGCTTTTCTATGACAGCTTGGCAACTTTGTGGGTATCTCTCTTTCCATGCGTCTTGTCATCAGCTGTCTCTTCTGCCACCTCATTTGGTGGGTGTGCAGTGGGATGGGAAAATGATGGATTGTTGACCTTGTGGCAGAGATCATTTGTATCGGCGGGCGAAGCTGTTATCAGGAATTATGCTAAGCAGCTCTTGCTGTCTAATGACTTTTGCTCTGTGTTATGTTACACAAGCGTTGCTATGGAATTATGGGATTGGATGTAGAAGGGGAGGCACAGTGGCTGAAAAAATGAAACCAAGAGGATTTCAATCAAAACCAAGAGAGCTAAATGACAAAATAATATAATTAAAGAGTAAAACCAAACATTTTGTTTACTGAGAAAGTTTTATTCCAAGTTATTATTATAGCTCAGGGTTTCTCTAAACGATTTTCCAATGATGCTATTATTTTTCTATGCTACTATGGTACTCTGTAAAAAGATATTCCAGAAAATGCTTCAAAAGAGATTTATTTAAGAATATTCTTCTTAAAAATTTTATTCAATAATAAACTCCTTAAATTTGTTGAATCTGGAAACTTGTTTTAAAAATACATTTACCCAATTCATCTTTCACTAATGCTGAACTAGCATTACATGGGGCCAAGGATTTAGAGATCACAGTTAGGGAATTGTCAGTCTAATATATAATCAAGTATTTGTGTCTAATATATATTGTGAATGTCAACTATTACATGGACTCCTTCATTTATTCTTAATACCAGATGTAATTATGATCAATATTATTAAAACCCTACTGCCAATAAAAATATAGTTATGAAGTAATTTATTCAAACTTACATAGCCAATAAACAAGAAACTTGATTTTAGACCCTGTGAACAAGTTTAAATGTTCAAATCTCTCTCTCTTTGTGCACTATCTTTGACATGTGACAAGAGAGCCACATGTTTCTTATAAATATACCGAGCTACAGTAGAAGAAACTTAAGCGGAGTACCCCAGTAGTTACAGGAGAAACTTGAAAGCTATGGATCCAAAATAAGTAAAGTTGTTTAAGGGTTACTGTATTATTTATTTCATGCATTTCACCATGTAAAAAAACACTTTGAATTGTATACTCAGATTTATTTGCTACCCTGGGTCATAGATTGGAAGACGGGTTGTTTTGGGGGTAAAGGTGTGATGAAAGAGTAATTAAGTGACCTTAAGGGGAAGAAGAATCAGGCATGGCCAGGGAGAAACCCAGGATGTTGTTAGGAGTAAGACAGGCCAGAGTCTGTAGGCTTAAGCGAATGTTGAGTTAGATGTAGGCTTCGAATTTGGAAGGTACCGGGAGAGTTGTGTGTATTGTCCTTCCTTGTAAGAGCATCCACACAGAATCTACCCACCTTTGCTCTGCTTCTGCCTAACCATTGCAGTAGCTTAAATAAGGATTTTTGAATTATGTTATTCTTGGTTTGAATATTTATTCTATCAATAAATGTGACCTTAAGAAAATTTCTAAATTGTATCAGCTACAAAATGAGGGTAGACATTATATTCTGAAGAACAAGAGAAATAATGGATAGGATGCGTGACAAAATAGATGCTGAATGTTTTGATAAAGAAGTAGTTACCTCTTTTCCTTTCCTTAATTTTATGAGTTCAATTTGAAAATATTAATATTTTTTAATTCTGATTTTTTCCCATTTTTCTTCTACTTTTGGTAAAGTTCAATACGTTTAATTCAACGGCATTGAGTACTGCAGAGTAGTACATATTAGTTTGGCAAGATTAGCTGGCTACAAGAAAACTGTGCTACTGGGCTATTTTCAAAATCCCAATTCAAATAATAAAATTGAAATGACTTTATTCAGAGCAGAATTCATCTAAGCAATGAACATTTATTACTTTGTGTGTATGTATATGGGTATATACATGCCATAGAACATGTGTGTATGTGTATGGGCGTACACATGCCGTAGAGCATGTGTAGAAGTCTGGAATTGAAGAAAGAACCTTCAGGAAGGGAAAGTGAACAATGTTGTTAGAATTGCCATGACCAATTTCCCTAATAAATTGCATCTATGTTTATATGAACAAGAAAATATCAAGATTTCTAAGTTGTTTTCAGTTGATAAAAATGGACAAAGGCAAATTATTGCTTGATCTTAAATCATATAAAAATGGCTTTTTTTGGAAAAGTTCTATTTCCTATTCACAGTTCTTACATAGTTGGGCATGGTACCTCACACATGTAATCCTCATTCATATTTGGGAACCTGAGGTAAGAAGTATATGAGTTCAACACCAGCCCATAGCAAGACCCTGCTCCAAACAACAATGACAAATACCTCAACCACAAATAACAGAAATAAAAACAAACTGAACATAGTAACATAATTTATATAATTAGAACCTTCAATGTGAGAAATTTAGTTTTTTGGGGCCAATTATGTCAAGGTGTCATGAAAGACTTGAATGTAGTACAATTACAGAAATGCGATGATTATATGTTCTTAGGAATTGTCTTGCTTTTGTATCACAGGATGAGTAAGAGATACTCACAGAAAGCCACACAAGGAAAGCTGCTGCTGATCATTTTTATCGTGACCTTGTGGGGGAAGGCTGTTTCCAGCGCCAACCATCACAAAGGTGAGCTCTGCGCGGCCCGCACTGTTTGTGGGAGATGGTTCCTTTGAACAGAGTGCAACACGCTGTCTTCGCTGGTCTGCTCAGTTTTGTTAGGTGTGGGCTCCCCCTAGCAATTTTCACTTTCTCTCAGTAAAAATGCAGAGAGCTGCCTTCGAGTTGACTTTGAAAGGAGAATCATGGTGTTTTCAGGATGACTGCCAGGTCTGCAAATATTGTCCAATGAATGCAAAATTCTGTCGTCCCTCCATTTTTAAGGATAGCGATGTTAAAATGTTGACTTGGTGTGTAATAAAGATGAATTTCAAACTGCCCTTATTTTCATAAAGAAAATGTTTTCATGGCACATATATTAATCATATGTATACACTATCTGCAAAGTTTTCCTTTAGGTTTTTGTAGACCATGTCTTTTTTGGCATTGTGACTCTGTGCCCATCATTTGGACACTGTTTCTATCATGATCCTCAGTAGGCTCTGTGCTACCATGGAAAAGTGAGACTATTTGTCTATATGTGTGTGCTGTCAGCTCAGAATCACTCCCTTTGCCCCTTTCTTGCCATTAGACTCAGCATAATGAATGGCCGCCTTTTCCAAATGAGTTTAAATGGGGCTATTTCTCCATTATATCTACTGTAATCAAGTACTCATAACCTGAGAAGTCAATTTAGATTTTTTTGTGAAATATGGTTTTGCTCTTCAATTCTCTATCCACCATGAAGGCTAGCCATTTCCTTTCTTATTCTGTTTTCAGGTAAAGAAGGAATTAAGAGTGCTTTGGATTTGCTAACACTTAAATTATTTACACACGTGTGTTTAATTAGCCTTGAATGAAACATTATCACAAAGAGATGAAAGATGTGGTGTGGGAATTGACGTCGATATGGCAAACCCCTCCCTTTGCCTTGAAAACAAATAAATAAGACTTTACATGAAGGAGAGTTTTGTGGAGAGTTTGTTTTAGTTTGAAATTCTGTTTTTGGGCTATAGAGGCATGTGTGTTTGTAAATGTACATTTTTCTTTAAATTAGCCCATGTTCTGTCAATCAAACTTTTAAACCCCTTTAATAATTGTTATCTTTGTTTGCTTTGCTGTTGATGTGGTACAAAATTCTGATGAGAGCAACTTAATCACAATTCCATGTTATAGTTGATTGTCATTGGAGTCACAGTCGAAGGAGAGTGAGGGAGCTGGTTACATTTCTTCTATAATGAGTATAAAGTGAATGCCACCATAAAAGTCACATTTTTGAATCCTTAAGTCATGCTATACAGTGCTAATTCCAGAACTATTAGCTCTTCTTAGTGCTTGTTAACATGATACTTTACATATTTCTTTCTTTGTTTTATCTACACATTTTGAAAGATACTTATTTAAATTATGTGGGCACATGCTTATCTGTGAGTGCAGGTGCCTATGTAGTTCAGAACACAGCCTCTGCTATCCTGGAGCTGGAGTTACAGGTTGTGAGCTGCCTACACTAACTGTTGGGGACTGAACTCAGGACCTCTGGAAGAACAGCAAATACGTTTACCTGCTGAGCCATCTCTCCAGTCTCACAGCATAAAACCCTACATTGTATAAGACAATGTCAATCTCCAACTGCAATCCACTGTGCAGCAGAGAGGCCAGGTTTTTCTCTATTCCATTGCTACCTTGCCATTAGTTTGCATAAAGATTTTATGAGCGATTTCTCTCTCTTTTTTGTCTCCCTTTCTCTCTCCTCCTTTCTTTTCTTCTTCTCTTCACCCATTCTTTTTGTCTTAAGTTATTTCACACACAGAATTATAAGGGCAATGTAAATACCAATTGTATAGCACATGTTCATAAAAATGAACACAGTGTTCTCAACAACAAGTTGGGAGGTAAACCCCTTCTAGTGCTCTTGAACCAACCATGTCTGCAGACTGACTCCATCCCACGCTCCCGTAGTATACTAGCATAGTCATTGTTCTAAATGTTCCGTTTAGAATGCCTTTATATTAACAATAACCTCTTCATGTGAGCTTGAATGCACATTTCCAACAGCAATTTCCTTAGCTTGGGTAGTTCTTGAATTTGTGTACACAGTATTAGGCAGTAAGTATTCAATTGTAATTTTGCTATTTTTCCAAACAGTGCTTTTAAGGTATGTTATAAAGTATAACACACCGATTTTCCACAGTTGATCCATGTTGCATGAAGTTACTGCAAACATACTAAAACCATAGACATTTTGCATTCTATTTTCTTCCTGTTCTGAACAACAGTTTAGGAGTATTATTGTACATTGCTTTCAGTGCACACGTGCAAGTTTCTTTGGAGGTAGCAATGCTGAATGGTGCTCTAGTCTAATAGCACAGATAAAGTTACTCTGAATATTTCCTTTTTGTCTTTTTGTTCCTTGCTCTCTGTGTTTCTTCTTTCATCCTGAATATATCTCACTTTTATTATTTGTTCAGATATTGGTCGATTTATTAATTTTCAAACCACCAACTTTACCTTTACTGTTCCTTTCATACAATTATACATTTTATTATGTAAGTTATGTATTTTATTCTGCCCATAAAGTTATTATTTTAGTACTATGAATTTACTTGTTTTTATGTGGCAGATACTTTAGTTACATCTCTTTCGTGCCATCACCTGTGTTAGGGCCTTCGCCCTTCACTGGCTTTCCAATGCTTCTTCTATAAAATCCCCAGGCTACCCTGCCACTGGCTTCACCTGTCACAAATCTGCCATTTCTATAGCTGTTTGGTAAGGCCTAAATGTTTATAGTTTAATTAACTTCCTCAGTTAGGCAAGAAATACTTGCGGCTGTTTCCTATTATAAAGGCAAGACCTTAGAGATAGATATCTGGTGTATCTACCCTGGAATGATGATATTTGCATTCTAAATAATAATAGGGCGAGAACCTAGGATCCGTTCCAATCTGGGCCCAGTGAAGCAAAACAAGATTTACTCTTTGGGGTATGGGAGCACAATGGCCATTTCTTTCATCTAACACATCCTTTATTCTTTGTTACTCTTCCGTGCATATCTCCTCTTCATTACATGAACATGTCTTGATGAAATTTAGGCAAATCAGGCTGATTCAATTACAATAAGAAACCAGTATCTGGTTCCTAATCCCTCGGTGAATGCTCAAGGCAAAAATATTTAAAGTAATCTAGTGTCACTGAAGAACTTCCTAGCTAGATACTAGGTCATCTAATCTTCAAAAGAGTTAATGAGATGGGTACTATTGTATAACAGCTTTATTGATCAGAATCTGATTAGTAAATGTGGCAAGTGGGATTGAAATCTGGCAGCCCTGCTCCATGTTGTCATGACCTATCTGGTACTGAAGTTCTTCACTACTGGGTTTATTTGTTCGCCTTCTTGAGTCCACGGATTAATATTGTTCATGAACAGAATATAGGTGCTGCCTCTCCTACCAGTAAGCTAGGATTCCAGTCAAGTGCAATGTGCGTGATGACATTCTCAACACTGTTCTCCCTGTGTAGCTCAGTTTTGGTATGACATTTCTACTTTTCAGATCTTTCCGTGCTACACTTTGGAGTATATACTCAGGTCTTTCAGAAACATTCATGTTTTCTTGTGTATGAGTTATGCTTTCGTCCACTATTGGGCTTTAGTTTTATTTATTATATGCCTCTAAAATTGTTTTCTTTCCTGGGAATTTTCTGCAATATAATGTCTTTATGGTTCGCACTCTCATTTTCTGCTTTCCATCTTACGAGATTTTCTAATTTGTTTTGAGAAATAAATTAGACATTTAGTCCTCTACAGAAGGAGGGACTATATCATATTTATATTTACTCTACAGTTTTGTGAACTTTAATTTTTTAATTTTTTGAGCATTTTATAAGTACTGTGTTTACATCATTTCCACCCCTCCCTTTCACTCTTCTGAATCCTCCCAAATTTCTCTCAAATTCACAACATCTTTAATTGTTGTTGTTTTGTACACACACACACACACACCGTACTGGGTCCTTCAGTGTTACTTTCATGTGTATGTGTTTAAAGCTGCCCACTTGAGACTGGATAGGCTATCAGGGCTCTTGTCCCTGCAGAAGGCCAATTCTTCCTCTTTTGGAATCCATTGATGGCCTGTTTCTTTTAATTGATTTTTATTGAGCTCTACATTTTTTTCTGTTCCCCTCCCTGCCTCTCTCCTCTCCTCTTCAACCCTCTCTCAAGGTCCCCATGCTATCAACTTACTCAGGAGATCTTGGTTTTTTTCTACTTCCCATGTAGATTAGATCTATGTAAGACTCTCTTAGTGTCCTCATTGTTGTCTAACCTCTCTGAAATTGCAGTTTGTCGGCTGGCTTTCTTTGCTTTATGTATGCCTGTAGTTTTTGATCTAGTGGTTCATCTTTGTGAAATTCCATTCCTATCAACACGTCATTTTGGGTTTTCACTATTAATGCCTTGTTAAGGCACCAATATGATTGAAATTTCGTGGGTGCAGGTTCCGTGTCGTGTTCAGAAACATGTTTCACAACTGACTTAGTTGTCCTCTGGTACTTAGGATCTTTTTGCTCCCCTCCCCCATTGTGATCTCTAAGTGAAGGGTTTGTGTTGTGCTGTAGGTGTATCAGCTTGGAATCAGCACCCCCTAGGCTATTATGATCTCTAAGTGAAGGGGTTGTACTGTGTTGTAGGTGTATCAGCTTGGAATCAGCACCCCCTAGGCTATTGTTCTTGCATTTTGACCAGTTGTGGTTTTCTGTGATGGTTATTGTTTGCTGCAAAATGAGTCTTCTTTGAATAAGGATGAAAGCTACGTGTATCTGTGGCTAGAAGAATAGTATGTAGGATGTAGTTGGGGATTGTGCTGGTTTAGGAATGTGGCAATAGAGTGTCCATGACTCAACACCCACAGGGAGTTGGCTAAGTTCACAGTGCCAGGCAGAAATTCCCTCCTATTGAATAAGCCTCATATCCACTTAGGTCTCTCTCTCTCTCTCTCTCTCTCTCTCTCTCTCTCTC